GAGAGAGAGCCCCGCGCACTCCATCCGCTTATCGCTTTTGTTATTACAAGCGCACCGGCACCCCTCTCCAAGCTGCCACCCAACCGGGGGCTCCCGACCTATATTCGCCGCACGCCGCGGCGGCGCGGTGACGGCGGTGACGCCCCGCGAGGCGCATCAACCCCGCCCGCCGCCGCCGCGTGATGGCGAAGCGGGCGAAGCCGCGCCGGCCCGTCACAAAAAAGTGCAAAGCACAGATTGAATGCAGTGACTGTGGGCCTTTCTTCCCGATCGCGCGGGGGGGTGTGTGTGCGCGGTCCGCCGCAGCATCCAGTCGCAGAGCCGCCGGCGGCGCTCCGGCCTGGGGGGCAGCGCGGGGGGGCCTCCGGGCGGACCTCAAACAGCGGGGCGTCCACGGCCGGCGGCCGGCGGCAACTAACAACTTGTCCTGCCTGTGTGCTTGCATAGCTTATCCGCGCCCGCCGCGCCCCGCCCGCGCCCCGCCCGCGCCCCGCCCCGCCTCCCACCTCGCGGGTTGGGCGGGGCGGGGAGAGCCGCAGGGTACTCGCAGTCGGTCGGGTGGCGGCCGGGACGCCACAGAGTCCTGACGGTTGGCTTGCTATCGGGATCGGCCGAGACGGGACGGGACGGGCAGAGGCAAAGTGATTGTCCCGATCGTGTCAGTTCAGTCTCCTCCCGCCGCGCCGCGGCCAGAGCTGGACCAGTTCCGGGCGGGCGCGGGGCTGCGCGCACGCAAGGCAAACCAACGGCGGCCGATCTGGAGGTTGAGTGACGCCGAAAGTCGCGGTCGAGGACAGCCTGGCCTGCATCAGCTGACTGGGAGTCCGGCCCGGAAGTGATGCCGCTGGCGGGGAAGCTGCCTGCCAGTTGAACACCGGTCGCCCCCGAGGTCTCGCCAGTTTTCGCTGTGAGTGTTTTCATCTCAAAGGGTGTGTAATCGTAGATACAGGTCCTGGGTTCGGCCCCGGGGAGGCTCGGCCGTTGTGCGGCAGTGACTGGCATGGGTACGAGTGTGAAGTGACATAACAAGTGAATGCGGCTGGTCGCCAAACGAGTGCCGAGAGCACAATAAGCAGATGGCGTACACTGCTGCGGGTCGTCCGCGAGTGATTCTATAAGAACCAGGAGGTTGCTTGAGGAGGGCTTTGGATCCCCGTTTTCTGCTTTTATCGACTTTAGTCCATCGGACACGGTTCATCATCTCAACAAAGTGTTTCTTTCTTGCGTTTCCCGAGTCGACAATGAGGCCTCCAATGTTCCTTACATGACATCTAGTTCGGGTCCACTCTAAAGTCTCTTTCTTGTGCTGTGATTCAATACCAAGGCCAAGCGTCGCCCCGGTCAACATGTTTTACGGGTACCGGTTGTGTCTTTGAATGCGCCTCAGTGTTGCGGGATTTCATACTCGCTACGCTAGGGCTGCAGGGCAGGGGTGATTGCACCTTACGGACGAAGGGAGTAGCAGGCAAACCCGCAACACTGGAGCGCATTCCAAGACTCGGTACAGGATGTGTAACATGATGAGTTGGGGTGGAAGACTAACAATAGTGTTGCCAGATAAAGAAGGCAAAAGTTCCCACGAATGCACCTCAGTACCCTTGTGGTGGGCTGTCAGGGGAGCGCATCATTCAAATAGCGCGGGTCCGAAAAGACCAACAAGCGATGGTAGAGCAGCGTCAGCAGCAAGCCCGCGACAAGCGCTGGGTGCGTTGCACGCAGGCCTGCCCTTGCGGGCTGAATCTACGCCCGCCTGCCAGGTCAGGCCACATTCGTACACCTGTGCCAAGGGGTTGCCTAGTTGGCAGGCGCTAGATCCAACGCAGTAAACACATGCACCGTCTGTAAAAGCGGTACACCACGGTGTTGCGGGTTTGCCTACCCCATCTGCACGTAAGGCGCCATGGCCCCTTGGGTATGCAGACCCGCAACACTGGGGAGTAGTAGCCTTTACACTCTACTGTATGTGCGAGGAAAATTTGTGTTCTTTATCTGGCAGCACTATGCGCCGGTGCACACGGTGCCTGGGGATTACACATCAGTATGTACCAAGCACGGGGTGTGTCAGTTCACGCGACAGCATGGTGGTGCGGGCTTGCCTACTCCGTCCGGCCGTAAGGCGCCATGTCGCCAACGGCCCGGGCCCCCTCAACTCAACATTCCGGCACGTGGCCCGATGATACACTCGGTCCAGCCAAGCACTGTTGGCGCACGGTTGAGAACAACGAGGAGAACATTGTACACTCGAGTACCAGAGGACGCGGCACTTGATCTGCTAGGTAAAACCCTTGTAGTAAGAACCATGCATAGGAGCGAAGTCACCTTACGTTCCGAATGTGTAAGTTAATACGAATGTCAAGTGTTGTGGGTTTGCAGACGCACTCCCGTGGGCCGCAATTAGGGGGGGGGGAGGGGTAGGTAAGCCTGCAACACCAATTTCCCAGAGTCCACACGGATTATCCGTCACCAACTCTGGCGGGGTTCTAGGCTTGCAGGGCAGGTTGTGTACTTTCTGTCTGAGTGGAGCACAAATCCGCCAACGCAACGGACCCTCCTCACACCTTCCTCGTAAGCACGCCGTGCTTGCCAGTCTTTCGCTTCCTGCGGAAACGATTCCGAACCTTTTCAAACCTTTCAAAAGTGTGACTTAATTGCAAGGTCTTTGTACTGCGGGTCGGGCCTCCGCCGCGACAGCTCGCGCAGCCGCCTCTCCCTCCAACGGGCCCGCCCGCGAGACGCCCGGCATGACTGTCACCTGTGGAGCCTCCCGCCCCTCCCCCTGCCCCTGTCGCTGTCTGTCTCTCTCTCCGCGTCTGGAGGGGCGGGGCGGTCTGGAGAAGCTCGTCTTCGCCCCGTGGCTCGTGCTCACTCGGAACCACTCACCGGGCCGCGGGGCCGTGCCGGGGCCGGGGCCGCACGGGGCGGCGGGTCGCCGTGCGTTTCACTGTAGTAGCACTTCCCTTGGCTCGCGAGGCGGGAGGCGGGCCGCGCCGTGCAGTGCGCCGTGTCGCGCCGTCGGGGAATCGAGTCTTGAAGATGTTGACGTATGACGTCGCCGAAAACAAAACTCGCGGCGCCCATGAAACGCGCGCGTACCGGGGAGCAGGCGAGGACGGCCGTCAGTCTGTGCGTGACGTGCCTACGAGCGGGTGAGGCGAGCAGGGAACAGCCTCTGGCACTGGATTCGTCGCGCCCGCCGCCATGAAGACCGACCCGCACGACGACCCCCGCGACCCGGGCGCGCTGCAGCAGCCCGACCGACCCGCGCCGCCGTGCCCGCCGGGGCTGCGGGGCGTGGTGCTGAGCGCCGGCCAGCTGCAGGCCGAGCGCTGCTCCTGCCCGGAGAAGCGGGAGCTGGGAAGGCAGGAAGCGCAGCAGGAGCAGCAGGCCCAGAGGAACATGCAGCAGGTGTTCCAGGGGGCGCAGCAGAAGGGTGAGTGCGGGACGGCAGGCGCGGCCTAGGACCGGGGCCGCACGGCCTCGCGGGACTTGTTTGGTGCTTTTTGGAAACCGAAAGTCGATCGCCACGACCTCTCGACAGATACCGGGAGGATCGAGTTTCTGATTGGGACACAACCAAGCCGTGCAGCTACCGCAGGTTCAGTTGCGACAATCGACGGGTTGCGCGTGGCGGTCGGAACGGCTTCTCAGTTCTTCTTACTTCCGATCCTCTAGCGGAATGGTGCACCCTACTGTGCCCACCCTAAGAATTTGGCATACTAGATCGAGTGAATGAAGACGATTCTGCATTCGATCCCGGCAGGCTGCTAGTTTAATACCCGTCGTTACAATGACTATGTTTCTTGTTTGGTCGCAATAATGCTCTTGCCACGAGCAGTGCAAATTTGGTTTTCATTCAAATTCTTGATCCGTCCGCGCCAACTTTTGTCGGCTGCCTGCCCCAAACTATGCAAAGATCGAGTTCTGGACGCGCGGTGTCCGGGCCGGGCCGGGCCGGGCCGGGCGAGCAATCAGCATCAATCATTGCTCCCCGCGGCGCAATGGCAATGATGGTTTGGCGCGCCCCGGCCCGGGAGTGGGGGAGGTGTCGGCTCTCCAGACAGACTTGAGTGACGCTTTTTGATTGTACTAGAAGAAAAACTAAAAACCCGCCGCCGCTGTCTCCCCGATTATACCGCGGGAACCTCTCTGTCCATAGATCTGCATGTCCGACGACCTCAACACGAAGTGCTTTGCGAACCCAGAGAGATCCCGCAACCCCGCCGCGACAGCGTGAAACACTGCTTCTTACCCCCCCCCCCCCTTTCGACCCTTTCGCAATCGCAACCCCCTTGGATCTAGGGCCGCGCCGGAAGACAGCCGATGCGAGTCGCGCACTTTCTGGCTTCACGGACGTCCGCGTCGAGTCCAAGGAGGAGGAGGACCCTGATCGACAGGGGGCGGGACAAACGCGAGGAGAAGAGTTGACCCTGCTTTTGCTCCGTCACCATTCGGTCAATGTGAGCGTGAATGATGAGGCAACTCTCGACCTGAAGAGCCGGGCCGTGCTGCCGTGCGGTTGTCTTCTTTGAACTCCATACGCGACACCACGCCGCGCCGCACCGCGCCCCAACCCCGGGAACACGGTGCTGTGGTCTCTCTGGCGATGTGCACCCACCCCGCCCCGCCGCCGCACCCCCGTGGGGTTTCCATCGCGATTAGTCATGAGACGTTATTCTGCCTCTCTGCTGAGGGACCGTCCAAAAAAGTGCGTCCGCAGTTAAAAGGCGCGTTCCGGCGCGTTCCGAAACTGTCTACGAAGGTGTCTACAGCATCAAGCTGTCATTAGCGCCTGGTAGGTAGGTAACATCCTGCCTGCAGCGCATGCGTGTACTGCGGCGTGGCCTACCCCGAGTTCCGCAGGCGTCGAGCTCATCCCCCCGACATCTGCCGACAGAATCTAGACTCTGAGAAAAACGGACGCGTACTTTTGGCACAAGGGGAGCTGGCTTGCGTTTAGTTAGAGGGGTGCTAGGGGGTGCCAGAGGGTCCTGAGCTGTCGGGAACGTTTTTTCCCCGTATACTCTGCATGGGTTTCTAAGGCGGCGAGTCTTAGGGCCCCCTAGCACCCTCTAAACTAGACGCAAGCCATGGCCCGATCCGAACGTGATCGCTTATGCCGACGCCAACGGGGTCGAAGGCAGGCGAGGCGCAATGGATACCCCGCGGGCCGCTCTGGAGCCACGCCCGCTTCCCACCGCGCGTCTGAATAATCCAGAACAAATGCCGGTAATAACACGAGCTGGTTCCAGATCGGCGTGCAACCGGTGGTGGTGGACTCGCGAAACGGGCGTCGCGCTTTCGTAATCCCGCCCGACTCAAACAGTTGTTTTGTTAACTCATAATTATTTTCCCCTTGTCCTGAAGAGACATCCGTAACAGTTTAATGGGACTCGTCCGAAATTCCGATGAACTTATACAACAATGTTCAAAGATTAGCGCCAAGGACGCGTCAACGCCACCAGATTGAACGAGCGCGAGTGCGTCAGCGTGGTGGCAGCAAGTCAAGTAGTAAAGAGTGCGCTCGGGTGCAGCCGCAGCCGCGTCAGAGTAGAAAAAGTTTTACTATCGGCGACTCCTCCCCCGGCGCGCCGGCCGCTCGGCGTCTGCTCTCGCCAGAGCGCCGCCGCCCCCGCCACATTGTCTCGCGTACCAAGTACCCTCTGTGTAACAAAGTCGTTATTCCCAGTCAGATTTTTTGCAGACGCCTCCCCCTGATAAAAGAGGCCACCGCCACGGGTCACTCGAGGCTGAGAGTTAGTTCCAGCGCGCCGACCCGTGGCGGCGGCCGCGGACGGGTTGGCTTGGCACACACCGGCAAATACATAGGCGGCCCGAAGCTCGATCATCCTCAAGGTTACGATACGAAAACCATTATCGGGCGGGCCGTGCTCATTGTGTGCTGTCGTTCATACACTCGCGCCTTTTTAACTTTTAATTACCCACTCCACCCCACCCGACCGCGCCGCCGTTGTCCGCCCAACCCAACGACGTGTGTTCTTCCGTCGGCTGCACGCCCGACGGAGAAGTTGTGTATCGACGTGACCGCTCTCTGATATACGGCTCGAAAACCCGATATAGTCGAATGTACGATGACCTACCGTGATGATGTCGTGGGTACGGGGACATGACCACCCCAGCTCCCGTACGGACCAAGTCTAGTCTAAAGGGGAAAGAGTGTGGAGCGGGGTGGGGTACGTTTCCTTTCAGGTAGAGACAGTCTTGAGGACTGTCGTAAAACACGGGCCGAAACCTCCCCCAGGAGCTTCGTTTCTGACTTTTGTTTCGTGACCCTGGGGGGTGGTAGAGTTGAGCGCTTAGATATGGGTCAAATTACCCGCGCGCGCCGGCTGATGTCGAGCGGGTTGCGTAACGGGGCGGGCCGTCAAATGTGTGACGCGCGGCGGAGGCGCGATACGCCTATGCGGCGGCGAGGCCTGCGCCTGCCTGCGACTTCTGCCGCGGAGCGCATCTCCGCGCATCGCCTTGCCATAGAGCGCCGCGGCCCCGGCAGGCAGGCCGGCAGGGAGATATAATGTGAGAGACCGGCATTGTGTTTTGACTCTTTTACTTTGTGCATCTCTAGGCGCCGCCATGGGCAAGGAGCAGCAGGGCCTCATGGGCCCGGGGCCGGCGCCCACCAAGCACGAGGTGCGGCCGCTCGTCGCCGACCCCCTCCGGGAGAAGGACCCCGCGCGGAAGAAGTTCTCGCCCCTCGTCCGCCAGGTGAGTGGGTATGGGATGGGGCAGAGTTGGAGGTCGGTGGGCTTCGGTGTGTCACAGTTGTTATGGGGAAGGGAAGAGGGGGAGGGGAGGGGTAGTGTCAACGTCAACCCCGTGTAATCGTAATCTTCACAATCCAGCGAAAATATACAACACCGTATACGATGGTAAATGATCGCGGGGTACAGTGTCCAGAGTGTAGGGCGAACGTGCGGCTGTATGTCACTTGTCGACTCATTCGGGTGCTGCCGAATGTTGGCGCCTTCAAAACCGCGACCAGTCTGTGTCAGCCGTGTCAGCCGTTGTTAACAGAGGTCGCCAAACACGCGCGCGAAGGTCTCACACTGAGCAAACTGCCGAACTCCATGGAGTGACTGAGTGCGTGCCGACAGGTGCTGGCCGCTGCCGGGCCCGTCATGGCCACGATCAGCTCCGGGATGACCACCGGGTACTCGGCGGTGTTGCTGCCGCAGCTCGAGCACCCCAACTCCACCATCCCCATCAGCTACGGCCAGGCGTCCTGGATTGGTGAGTACTTTGGAAGGGCTGGAGAGAGGGGAGGGGGGACTTCTCCTCGGACTTCCCTCGGAACAGACGGGCCGCGCGCGGTCGAAAAGGCGTTTCGACGCGTTTTACCCGGCGATTCGGCCCGACTGTGGAGAAACTATCTCTTCATGCAGATTTCACGCGGATTTGTTTCTTTCTTACCCTTGTCCCTTCGTCCAAATTATGCTGCACGCACATTTGCATGGGAGATGATGACTTGCGAGATTCGCTGGATATTTCGGCCATGTCGATGACCCACAGCCTGCGCAGCCCGGGCGGGCAGCGGCGTTGGTGGTGATGTCATTCGCTGTCCCCCGCCCCCCATGACAGCCTTTTACTCGAGGAAAGTACACATAAGGAAAACAGTTTTCGGAATAAATACGTACAGGGTGTCGCATAGACCCCTTCCTTTCGTTTCGGTTTTACTGGACTTCTCAACATGAAGCGGGCGCAATGTTCTCACGCGTGGAGTCGTGGAGTACATCAAATTAGTTTCATTATCCGCTGAATACTGAACTTGTTGTGGGTGTAATTGGGACCCTGCGCAAGCGCACATGCCGCTTCCTCTTGATTACTTCGCTTTTTGTTATTTTCAGTTTTCCCAAATCATCTCTCTGTATCGGTGGGGAAGTCCGGCGGAGACTTTATAGGCGTCAATCACTCCTTTGCGAGATACACTCAGTGCTCTCCGCGCCGCCAGTTTTGTCTCTTATCTGCGCCGTGCGGTGCGGTAGGGTTTGACTGATAAAGGCTGCAGACCGGTGTCTGGTGTGCGCGCCCGGGTGCATCCAGGTCCAAGGGACTTCGCGCTCTGCCGCCGTAAATCCACCGCACAAAACTGACACGAGTAGGACGCGCAGTTCCCCCTGCAAATATTGAACTGTGGACGCTCATTTTGTGTGCTGTAATGACGCAACGATGGCTGCGATACGTGTAGGCCTTGATCTTGTCCCCGATGTCACTTTGTTTGATAAAGCCGTTGTTATGCACGGCCCGTGCTAAGCAGGCATATTTCCCCGTAAGACGACTACGCGCTAATGAGATGATACATTTAAATCAATTTAATTAGTTTTAGCTGGGTTCTACACTACCCAAAGAACACTCTGACGTATGAGCTTTTATCCTGATCATTATTTACCGAGGGTGCCCAACTCCATAAAAATGTGTACATCGGATCACCAACAAAACCTAAAGATTCAACGATTACCAAAGATTACCAATGAATACTAGATATGTATCCGCCTGCATTCTTAACCTAAACGGCCATTTTTCGTCCCGAGAAAGGTGCATTCTTTATCTTATAAGTTACCAATTTGCATTCTATGATTGGCCAATCAACAAAATTTGTTCTTTGAAAGGGCCCTCACGAGTGTTGTGGATCACCAGGGATTACCAGTGATTACGAAGTCTGTGTACACCTGATTACCCCAGTAGAGCACCCCCTCGTTATTCACCCAATGCTCTGAAAACATTTCCCTTCTCTTTAACTAACTCGTGACGAGAGATAAGCTCGGCATCGGCAGCAGCGATGCAAGTCGCTGGTTCCCACTGAGCAAAAGAACGGACTGTCCTGCTTTCCCGCATAAATAATTGACTTGCGACGAGCCACACAGCCACACTGTCACGTCACGCTTCGCCGCCATACTTCGAGACGGGCCTCCCCCGCACACTGCCACGCCACAACGCCACACTGGTCGCTCGCGCCGCGCCTAGCCTCGTCTTCGGCGGGGGCTCGGCGCGCTTCGCGCCACGTGTTTTGGCGCCATTTCCCCGGCGGCCACCGCTCTCGTCACTCGCCGGCAGTGTGGCGGGCGCCGCGCTGCCCCCTCTCCGACCGTCCCATGTGGTCTAGTGGTTAGGATTTCTGGCTTTCACCCAGGAGGCCCGGGTTCGATTCCCGGCATGGGAAAATTTTTCTGCCACTGATATTTGGGTCTCACACCATAAATGGCAATTCCGAGCTAAATTTCTAGAATTTTCTTATTGCTATGTTTTTCTGGCCACTACATTTTTGAAGAATGCGCAATCTTGTTTGGGATCTGACGGATCCGTCACTCGAGTTACAGAGCGTGCTAATATCAGATCAATCTTCCTTTTGGCGGGCAAGTGAGAACTGGTGCTGTGCTGCTATTGT